ATAACAAATAAAATATAAAGTTTTTCTTATGAAACATTTAATAACTATCTGGATACTATAAATATTTTGCCTGTGAAATTAGAAATTTTCTGATGCATAAAAGTATTTTTAATCTTAAAATTATAATTACTTTGCATGTCAGATAGGCAACATGCAAAAGAAAAAAAGGCATGAGAAAAACATTGCTTTACAAAACTTATGACTTAATAACATAAAATTATATTTTGCATATGAAAGCATTGTAATGTTTACTGATAATCTGCCAAATTTCATTAACATATGCTTACTAATATAACAGTTATAGCATGAAAACTACAACAAGCACAAAATGGTTACTGAAAGAGTCAAGCTATTATTACGTGACACTAAATACCCTTTAATTAGGAGAATTTCATAAAATTTAGCAAATTTGTGCTTAAATGTTGGCAATATGATTCTTTTAAAAACTTGGGCTAAGAACTGTTAATCTAGTTTTCTTGGCCTAACTAATACTTATGTATCTGCATGTCCTTTCATCCAATAGTTTTGCTGCTCTAAATCCTCTGTCTTTAATCCAAATAAAAAAAAACTAAAAATGGTCCACTTTTACTCTTAAGTGAAGCTGTAGTAAAAATTTCAGACTAATAGCTCATGTAACTTTTTGCACAGGTACATGCAAAAATTTTGGACAAATTTGAGTAGTTTTTGTTGAATAACTTTGCAAATGTGCCTTATATTTAGACCAAAATTTACACATTATTGTAGGTTGTAAAGATCTATCAGTGTACCAAATTTGACAAAATCCATAAAAGTACTTTTTCCTATCAAATAGTTTTTTACTTTCATTGTGAAGAAAAAAAAGAAAGAAAAAATTCAATCAAAATTGCAGTTTTATATAATGTATATTTCTTAATGGCTGCACAACACACTATCGTGTGTCTTGATATTTTGATTGTAATTTGACCAATTGTACCTTGCATTCTGACTTGTCAGAGTCTGAGTCAGACTTGTATCATCAATACACAGACACATCTTGAGTACAAATATTTTCTGTAATATATTTGATATTTTGTGTACTACAGACTTTTACATTTTACTAAAAAATTACCACATTTCATGTAGATACACAAAGTAAATTATAATTATAGTCAGCCAACCCTGTGAACATTCATGTAACGGAACCATGTTTTTATTGGTATCCTTTCTGGTATTGCAGTAATATTTCACAAAAACTAAGATTTTAAAATGATTTCATAAAAAAAAAGATTCAATGCATCACTAAACTGAAATAAATATTAAATAAAATCAAAACTTACAGCATCATATGATATGTGTCACTGCTGTTACTCAGTATTATTCTCACCTAAGATTGAATTCTTAATATCAACACTAGATTTTGAAAACCAAGCTTTAAGCAGAAACAAGAAATAAATCACAATTATTTGTATTAGATAACACTAACAGAAAATTCTCGGTATAATAGTTTCATTTCTTAAAAATTATAACATTAAAACATAACAAAAATTTCCATTAGACCTAAAATTAAACTTACATTATATATTACAAAATGGTTATGATTGCTTTCGATATAACCTGTGGAATGAGGTCTTAATTCACTTATTTTATTTTATTAAAATTTTAAGTTAACTTTGTTTTACTTTAATTACATTTTTATGTATTGGGAATATTTATTTAAAATGTTGAGTTTGGTTACATTATAATAGCTTTGAACTGTAGTTACTAATAATATTTTGAAGCTGTTGAGCTCCCACCCAAGGAGTTAAATTAGTACTATTTTCAAACAAAGTACTTCTGCTTAGTCTGTGATCACCATCTTTTTGAATATCTTACTTTTAAGTTCAAGAAGTTGGTGGAGAATTTTGCAAATTAAAATTTGCCAAGGGCATTCAAGTGGGGTATAAAAGACTGGAGCAAGTTTTTTCAATGCTTAGATGGGCAAAGAGTGGAAACCCTGGAGATCGAGAAATAGCTATAGTGTCAGCGGAGGTAAGTATGTTTTGAAATATTTTTTTTTTTTATAGTGAAAACAAAATTTTGACCTATCAATTTATCTGTGTATATAAACACTGTGACTGAATTACAATAGTTATAACAATGAATAAGGCAAATTTAGAAAGATATTTTTCTGTATATCAATTATCAAAAACTTTATTTCAAAAAATTTGGTCATTTAGGTTGCAGTATCAGTGTCAAACCACTTTCTTATAGAGCTACTAGCTCTTCCATCAGTATGGCCTTCTACATTAATAAGAAGAATATTTTAAAAAAGTGTTGGATCTATGTATGAAAAAGTGTAAGAAAGTTCTATCCAAATTATTTGAGATCAGTAATAAATATAAAATGAAACTAATATATAAATAACTAAAAACTGAGTATCAAATGCTTCCTAACATGAAGAATTTTGATTGTTTATTGGAGTTTGCTTGTCTCTAGATTGTAATTATGACACTATATTCTTCTGCTATAAATATTAGCTCAGCATAAAAAGTTAGCTGTATGCTAGAATATAAAAACTTTGTAAATAGCAAGATTATGCCAATTTGAAAGAAATCTAATGCAATGTATTTTTGAAACCACTAGAAAATATGTAAGGTTCATGTACCAGACCAATAAATGTTACTGCAGCTCTAAGATAATGTAGCCTATCATTCTATGTCAAATCAGTTTTCTTCTTTGTAACTCTAACCATTTAAAAATTAGTCACTTTTTAAAGTTTGTTTGTTTCAGAATGTTTGTACAAATTTACACAAAGGGCACATAGCCATCCTTAATTTTGAGCTGATAAACTAGAGAGAGAAGGCAGCTTGCCAACAGCATCTACCATCAATTCTTGGGCTACTCTTATCTGACAGCATAGTGAGATTTGATCATTTCTCTTCCAATAAACACATAGCCTCAAAGAACATTTTCCACCAACAGGATGTAATCCATGAATCATAAAAAGATTCACAGTCTAGCATACTAACCACTATACCACATCGAAACCTCATTTATATAAAAGGTCAAACTAAGCTCACCCTTGAGCACTAGCAAAGTCTCCCCAATTTTCCATGGGTCCTGTGGAATGTGGAGCAGTTTCTCCTAAATCCAGTAAATCAGACACATAAGAAATGCTGGCACCAGTACTGTTAGGTTGAGTAGGCTGAGGTACTACAGGAGAGACAGACTCTGATGGACTTGGAATCTTCACTCCTCCTGGTGGGGGAGGGAGCAAACCAGTTATATTTCCAGATCCAATTGGAGCTTTGGCTTTTGGTCGAGATGTTCCAGATTTTTTCTAAGAAAAGTAAAAAAAAGTTTTTTAATTCTGCCCCGAGATGTTTGGTATTTTCTCAATCAATGTAAATAATTATGGCAGAATCACATGATTAAACCATAATTAGTAGATGACCCAAGTATTTTTAATAAGTAAAACTCTCTCATCAGGTAAAAAAAGTAAACAATTTTTATAAATCATTGTTAAAAATTTATATGAAGATTACAAGGCTAATTCTTTAAAAGACTTTTTCATGTGTATGTAAATGGTCTTGACTTTTGCATTCCAATTTAATCAAATTATGATATCATACATATTAAAATGCATATAAATATAACAAAGGCATCAATCACACAAATTTCAGAAAATCAACAGTAAAATGTATGTTAATATTTTAGCTTTGGACATTTACAAGCAGATTTACAAGGTTAATCACCCTACTGCAGGGCTTGACATTTAACAACTGGCCACCTGTCAAGGACAGATAAAACTGGCATGTCACCTGTCCAACAAGGCAGTTAAAATTTTCCAAATACATGTTCCTTCCCAGAAATTGAACTTGATTTCATCGATCACATTTTTTTCATGAGCACTGCTGTTTTTGTTTGATGAAATGTCTACTAGAAGCATGACTGATATGCCATTACTGGCATCTGGGCTTAACCAATCTGGTTAATCTCAGGTTTGAGGGCAATTTATTCTTTCATGTTTTATTTAATAAGTTATTTTTATTTGTTTATGTTCTGTATTATTATTATTCACTGAATGATAATTTTTGATCACTTCAAATAATATACTGTTGTTTATACCAAAAATAAACCTCAATTTGCAATTGATACAGCCTGTTTATTTATTTTTAGTGTTTATTTTCTTTCAACCATTAAACAATTAATTTTATTAAATTTATTTTAAATTCATGAAACAACTCAGTTGACCTAATGCAACAGACCTTGTCAATCCCAGTTAATCACTACAGATACTGTATAAAGGCTTTTTAACAATACATTTAATACATTTGAGCACCATGCACACAGGAATATAAGATATGATGATTTTGTCATTAGATCCTTCTATTTTTGCTTTAGCTATTGATTTCATTTTACTTCATTCTTTCTGCTACTTTCTGTATTATTTCAGGTTATTTCTCATTTACAGAAATAAATGTAAAAAAAGTGTGGCTCTAGTGATTGGCAGTTGATAGGTGAGAAAACCATCTTCATTCATTAAAAGCAAGTATTTTCATGAAATAGAACTATTTGATAATCAAAGTTGGTGGCCTGGTAAAAGTTTACCAAATTTTCCTGCAAGAAGTTATTAGCAAATTAGACTTCCACAATTACTAATGGCAAGTAATTTAAATAATTTTACAGGGATTTCATTAAGAAAATACAGCATTTGTTACATTATAAAAAGGATCAAAAATGCTTGTTGAAACTTTTTTAAAGGCATAGAAATGTTTACAAAATAGTCAATATGCTTTAACTTCTTGAGCTCCTTATGTAGTTTTACACTCTGTTGCATAATATGGATTTTTACTTTATGTTTATTTTTGCATAAAACTGTGATATAATTGTATTCTTATGTTATATATGAGCTATGTAGGATATATATATAGAAATAGGCCAATAGAAAGTACATGTAAATATATGTATATGTGATACTCAATATAACTGATAATTATTATATATTACACACACACACACACACACACATATATATATATGTGTGTGTGTGTGTGTATATATATCTCTGCAGCTCACTCTAGTAGAGTACTTACAGGTGATGGTGAGGCTGCTATGCTTATTATTTTTTGGAATGCCAGATGTTGAAGTGTTCAATGGAACATAGGTCTGGCTTTTCTGGGCATTCAGGACAGTAGATCCTCGTTACTTTCCTTCCTGTGCATATTCGGCAGTTCTTTTAGGGCCCTGTTACTTTTTCAGAAGGTGGAATAGACACCAGAACATGAACTGATTCCTCTACTTTGCATTTTCGCTTCATTCCTCTTTTGTTTTGCTATAGGTACTGCATTCTTACTTTTTAAAGGCCACCATTTGTCAACAGTTCTTCGACAACAGTGTTGAGATAACCAAAATACTTCAATTTTTGGTTTCCATTTTACTTTTACAGACAAGAAAGGCATTCAGTGTCATTGATGAAATTAGATGTAGGCCTAGCTTTTTGAATCATGCCAGGGATTTTCTACCTGGGTCATAAAGGTTCCAGATATTGGTTAGTTTTGTCAACAGAGCTCATGTAATTATTATATTTCTCAACATGATAGGGTTTATAGAAGAATCAGGATGTTCCTCCATAATATGTTTTATTCTTTTCAACCAATGAGGCCTCATACTTTGTTGTAATTACCAGAACATCCTTTTCGTCAACCCATCTCACAATTAGAGCATTATCACGCCTTGCAAATACACTTGTGAATTTGGGTAGACTTTTTTCAGCACAGATTTCTTTTGGAAAGTCTCTGTTTGGCCTTATTGTCTAAATACTCAGCTAACCTCAAACTGGAATGCCAGTTGTCAACAATTATGTCTAGTACACTTTGTACAAGATGCACTACAATTCTCTCTGAAACCGAAAAGTTTTGGGGTGTAGCAAATGGCAATTGGTATGTGTCCTTTCCATAATACATATACTGAAATTCCAGGTATATCCACTCAAATCATCTCCTGAGGGAGATTAAAGTTAGAGCACATATGCAGGTATGTAGCAGTTTAACAGAGCTCTCTTTTCATACATACACAAGTATGTACCCATCGTGAAGGAGTTAATGAGAAATCTTGTCCATAAATACTTGTTTATTCAGACATGCTAAGTCTATTTTCTTCAGGCAAAACATTTCCAGCCTTCACTTTGGTTTTGAATCACTTACACACATCAATAGACATATTGAAGGATGAGTGGATAACACTTGTTTTCTTTCCCCTCCACTATTTCCAGCTTAACAATGAATGATGTCATACTGAATCCTTGCTTTTCCTTCTAATATTGCAATTGATCAGAATTGGGATACTTATTTCCATAAAATATGTCTTGCATCATGCATTGACAACTACCCAGGTTATGGTTAACTATGACATAAATAAAAACAACCTCTGGCCCTTATTCCAGACAATGCAAAAAAATACAGATGTAAATTGCTGAACTAATGTTAAGTCTTATAAATAACAGGACATGACTGTCAAGCATAAAGTTAAAACAAAAGATATAGTTGGCCAGATAAATCTTTATTCGTATCAACAGTAAAACTGCCCCCTCCCCAGTTGCTCCCTTTCTTGTATCACAATTGCCAACAAAATCTTTTGAGGTAAACTGTAAAAGAAAGGATTGAAAACTTTTAATTTTTCTACTTAATTAAACAACTGTAGCTAGCCATGCTTGTAAAGTTGTTACAACCCTCAATAAGGTTGTGATTTTGAAGGAAGGAAAAAAGTCAGAGTGCTCGTGGTTACATTGTGATATTTGTTCTTTGATCAACTACTCAAGCAGCTATTTAACTGGTAAGATAGCATACTTCTAAAAACTATCAGAATTTCATCTAAATACGAAATTATTTTATAGAAATAACTTATATTGCCTATAATAATAACAACAACCAAATTGTATTTCCCATAGGGAAGCATTCTGTTCAGAAAAACAAATGTTAAAATATTTTTTGTACATGTAAAGAATGACCTTTACATCTACATGGCAGATTATTTAACAATTAATGTTGAGCCAATGCCTACTGTACAAATTCTGTTGTAATGTATACATTTTATTTACATTAAATATTTTAATTGCAAAATCAATAACTAAGTCAGAACTGCAAAGCATCCTTTAAAACAAACCTGACTAGTATTAATGTGAGTGACATCTCAAGATTACTTGTATATTTCTATAAAAAATCATTGATAAAAATTTATGAAATCAATGACAAAAAATGATAATTTAGTCTCACTAACAGCTCAAAAACATGACAATAAGAATTTAAAATTTCATTTTATTGGCAAATGAATATTAGCACAAAAGTTTAAAGAAGTTCATCTGTACTGGCTAGTGTCTTCATGTTAGTGTAGTTATTTTCAATATATTATCTAACTTTTACTTCTGGAGATCTGGGTCATACCCAAGAACTCCTGAAAGTTTCATGATGATCAGAAGTCAGTGAAATAAATGTTGTTACAGTAAACAAGGAAATGAACTTAAGAAGTGATGTAAATCAAATATTAAGTACTATTTAAAGGCTGAAGTAACTTTGGTAAGGATTACTTAAGAATATACATGTTAAAAGTAATGAAATAATAATTATTAAAAACAAGAGTAGATGTGAAACAAACATACTCTTAATGAATATAAACAAGTTCTATTTCATATGGTATCAAGAATTCATGCAACATATACTAAGACAAAATGTTTATCACATGAGCAGACTTTATGTCTGCAAGATTGCAGACAGATGCATCAAACTATGCAAATAGTTTTGAAACTGTACCTTATCATGTGATAATACTAAACAATGAAACAGTTGGTTAGTTATAAAAATATAAATATGTATGAAGATCCCTATAAGGAAGAAATGAATGTGAAACACTTCAGGTAGATAACCAGAGTATAATTGCTAGTTAGCTTGTGATGAACAAAGTACAAATGATCAACACTGACCTTGATAGCAATAGACAGTACAAGCCTACAAGTGACACAATTTTTATCAGATCTGGATTTTTTCAACTGGAAGAAATCAGTCCTTATTTGGTAATAATCTCAAGATAACTAACTGTTTTATACCTTGCCACAGCCATGCATCACATAGCAATAGAAACATATAAAAACCCTACTAAAATTATAGCAGTAATCATTACATCACTGAGAGTAGTAAGTCAAAAAATTATTTCAAACACTCAGGCAGAGACAGACAGTAAGTCATTATCCTTTTCAACCCACAAGTCTCAATTTTCCAGTTAGCATTTAAGTTTAATATGTAAATAATTCAAAGCCTCTTAAAATATAAATGTGTAAATTGTAGAATCAATAAATGTTGTGTGTTACTATTTGAATTTGATTCACTGCATTCCTTATTTTCATGTAAACCTCCTTGAGTTGGTGATCTGTGAACTACTACCACTGACTGAATATCCTGGTATTAAAATAAACACTATTTGTAACTTGGTAGTTGTCTTCCAATAATGCACTCTTATATCAGGAAGTAAGCTATAAGACAGTAGTAAGGAGGAAAATTGATATGGCTGTTTAACTCATAAAAAATTTCTAAAAATTCACAAAGGTTTCATGGTGATGAGAGGACAGGAAATTTGAAATTTTTTATCATACACAAACATGCAGAAACAGGTCACTTTATAGTATAGATATATTTAATTTCTTAGAAGATTTATGATATAAAAAAAGAAAATGCATATGTTCAAAAAGAAAAACATATCCCATCTTCTATAACATTATAGATCCTTAACTGATGAAGAATAATACATTCTTTCATCATATAAAAAAATCTATACTAGAGGATATGCATAAAATTCAATGGGGCACATACATATTTACCTCCAGAGATTAGATAAAAATCAAACAAAAATATGTGATAGAAAATCAGTATATAAAGAACTAAATGCATTTTTATACATTTTTTCAATATAGAACACTTAATATAAACTTGAAAAAATAGCTTTTTCATTGAATACCAAATGCAATAAGCAACTAGAGTCCAAATCTGATGTTGTAAATACATTTTTAAAGTTTAAAATATGATTATTATAATACAGAAAATAACTTGTGAAAATATTCAATGGTCTAAAAAAATAATTTGTACTCAGACACATTTTACTATAATGACAAGAATGAGTTTTTTTTGTTAAAGATTCTTAATAGTCAACTTCATAAAATATATATAAAACAATTTAAAAATATTGTACATAAATAAAATGTAAAATACAAATCAACTAGCTTCAAAGCCCAGTTTGAGTGGCTATAGATTCTCCAACCAATGACCAACAAATAAACAAAGAATGGAAGAGCATTGTAGAATACTTACTCCAATATTCATATTGATTTTGATAGTCTCGCCTTCCTTGAAACTGAGATCTAAATGTTTCTTCCCATCCTTCTCCCATTCCTGCTCTAATTCTTCATCCTTCGTTGCAGACCTATGAATCATTAATTTTATTGAAAACCTATTCTTAAAGGTAAAACAACATAATTTATATTCCTACTTTTCATCTAGTTTGAAGAACAAACATACAACTATAATTAAGCAATTTACCAGAATTGAAGCATGATATGAATATGTAATAAATGTTCCTTAACTATCTTTTATTACTGTTATAAAGGAAAAATACATAATACATTCATCATTTCATCAGGTACTAGATGAAACTGGTGAAATTAATAAAACTTCCCTAACTACAAACAAAATGCTATATTAGATTTAATGTTAACTTCTAATAAAGAAATAGTTGATAGGGTAGAGAATGGGGAACATCTGGATGCAAATGATCATTGCTCAATTAGATTTCATAGTTTTCTGCATGTGGAGATAAAGTATAATGAGATTTTGGTTCCAAATTTCAAAAAAGCTAATTTTGAAAAGATGAGACAAGAATTATCTGCTGTAAACTGGGCAACTGAATTAGTTGGAGATACTGATCAAATGAGGAAACATTTAAAAATAAATTATTAAATATTCAAGATATGCATGATCCTTACAGAAACAAAGGATGGCCACAAGTAAAAAAAAACAATTTGGTTTACAAAAGGTATAAAAGATACAATTAGAGAAAAGCATTATAAAAATAAGAAATTTAAATTGACTGCAAATATGGTCAAATGGGAAGTTAGGAAATCAAAAAATTGATAGTAAGGACTTCTTCAAGTACATTAAGGGTGAGCAAAATTTTAGGATGTGAGTAGGACCCTTGAGAGATGATAAAGGAAGGCTAATATCTGATAATTATGAGATGGCTGACTTAATAAATTCTACTTTTTCTTCAGTTTCTATTAATGAAGATTTGGGTAACATTCCTCATCCTGAACAGATGCTAGATGGAAAAAAGATTGAATAAGATGATCACATTAATTCTGAGCTTGTTAAGAAAAAATTGGGAAGTTTAAAGAATGATAAAGCTCCTGGGCCAGATAACATTTCCCCACAAGTTTTGAAAGACGTTAAGGATTGGACAAGTGAGTCATTTGCCACTATTTTTTCTAAGTCCTGGTGGGCAGGTCCCAGAAGTTAGCTAATTTTACTCCTTTTTCTCAAAACTGTCCCAGTAATTGTAGGCCTATTAGTCTAACACCAGTTGTGGGAAAAGTTTTTGGAAGTCTCATAACAGATGCTTTGCAAAGTCATATAACAAAGTTTACAATTTTGTTGAATAGCAGAATGGTTTTACTAAGGGAAAATCTTGCCTTACAAATCTTTGAAATTCTTTGAAGAGGTTACTACTCATGTAGATGAGGGTACTGGTGTAACTGGATTTTTCAGAAAGCATTTGACAAGGTGCGACATAAAAGGTTGTTATAACAATTAACTCTGTAGGTGTTGGCTCATTGGATAGAAACCTGGCTAGTAGAAGAAAGCAGAGGTTTGTTTTAAATGTTGTTCAGTAAAACTGGATTACCTTTGATTTATGTAAATGACATAGATGAAGGAATGGTTAAAAGATTATTTAAATTTGAAATATGCTGATCACATTAATGTTTTGAGTGTTGCTGGCTGTGAGGAGGATTCTTCTGCTTTAGAAAAGGATTTGGATTATTAGGTGAGTTGGGTGAATAAATGGCAGTTGGCTTTTAATAATAATATATGCATCATAATTTGAATTGTGAGTATAATTTTGATTGGAATAACCTCAACAGTGTTACAGAAGAAAAATATTTTAATGTTGTGTTATATTAGTCTCTTAAGCCATCCAATCAATGTGCTATTGCTAATGAAAGGGCAAATAAAGTTTCAGGTTGTATCTACAGATATACTGAATACAAATCTAAACATGTTAATAATATCACTGTAGAGGTCACCGGTTAGACCACATTTGAAGTATTGTGTTCAATCTGGGGATTGTTAACTTAGAAAGGATATGGAATTGTTTGAAAAGGTTTAGAGGAAGGTTAAGTAGGATGACACCTGGGATGGAAAGATTGTCATGCAAGGTTAGGTTAAGATCCTTGAACTTGTTTTCTCTTGAAAAAAAAGAGTTAGAGTGGATCTGATGAGGTGTTTAAGATTGTTAGAGGAATTGATAGTGTTGATGCACCATCTTTTTCAATATTTAATGGTGAGAATGGTAAGCCTATGAGACACAAATATGAATTTTGACAGGGTAGGAGTTATCTTCAGCTGAGAAAGCTTTATTATCCTAAATCCTTTAGAATGGGTTGCCTTCAGATGTAGTTAATTTAGGGGAGTTTAAATTAGTGGATAGGACAGCCTAGATGGACTAAAGGGTTCCTTGTTGTCCTTTAACCCTATGTCATCACGTTTGTTCTCTTGCATTCAAAATTTTATTGAACTACTATTTTATGAATTTATGTCGATAAGTTTGGTATCAAATTGTTGATTATAATTCAAATTTTAGTATTATACATTAGTTAATTTCTTTATTTAAAGTAATATTAAAAAAACACAGCTAAACATCAATTTTTGTGTGTTATGTGGTATGTTGAATGCAGCACTGGTTCAAATTAGATGTTTATGATGTCAAAATACAAAATCTACAGTTTTGTACGAATTAGAAACTCAAACTACAAATATTGACAAGCTAGAATATAAAATAAGAACCTTTTATTGTTTCGACTTGCTAAGATATTGCTCATGTACTGAACCAAACACAGTGTCCCCACCCCCACCCACCTCTTTCCATTTTTGGAAACAGTCCCATATATATACACTTGCTTCTATATACAACATGAATAACCAATCGAAAGCTCAGAATGTCCCATTAGTGGTTTTCTCAGCCATTTTGATGTGTTATTGTGTTAATTTTATTCTTTTCACACAAGATTTCAAAAGATAAGGTAAGTCTCTAGGAAGCTCGAAATTTCATATTTTTTTAGACCCAAATACAACTTAGTTACTATGCTTGATAAATTATAATGGAATTCTTAGGTAGCAATACAGTAATTTATGATTTTTTGGTTATTTAAGATGTATATATAAAACCTAAAAAAATTTTCTTTTCACATCCTCCATGTGGGAAATTTCAATAAGGCTTAGCAACCTATGACAAGTGGAAAATGAGTACAAAGGTCATAACTAGAAAAGGTAATTGTTTGCTTTACTTCTTTATTTACTATTCTATGTTTTAAGAAAAATTCAGCAACAGAACCTACATGTAAACTTGCAGTTCACAATGTTCTTTCAACATGTATTTTTACGTCGCATATTAATCCACATATTTATGTACTCCTCTGATGCACACTACTGCAATAAAAGCAATGAATGTGTGAAAAGCACACAGTATTAATTTTTGATTTTGTGGAATATAAAACATGTTTCTAAGTGCTTTACTCTAATCCACTTTGGAGCTGAATATTAAAAGAAGTGTTGTCCTCTCTTCAAAGTAAATATTGTAAGAACTACTTTATAGTTAACAAAAGACTGCAGCTAATTAAGAATTTTAGCTAATTTACAATATATATGTACTCCTCTCATGCACACTACTGCATTAAAAGCAATCTATGTGTGAAAAGCAAACAGTATTAAGTTTTGATTTTGTGGAATATAAAACATATTTCTAAGTGCTTTACTATAATTCAACTTCCAATAACAGTGACAGAAACTCAAATTAATTCAATGTATCTGTGGACAAGGTTATTTTCTCAAAAAATTCAAATTGGCTTCCAAAAAGCATTTAAGTTAATTTTTAGGACCTGCTCAGATTAATGATTTTCAAATTTGGTTACCCACTGCCATACATGGGAGGATGGACATGAGAACAAGGCATTTTCAACATTTTACAAACAATCACATAACACAATTTTTTATGTGAATTTATGTTGCAAGTTCAATGTCAAAAAACTGGAATCCTAATAGGCTATTTCTGTTATGAAAACAATCACAAGAATGCATAAAAACA